TAAACCACAATTGATTTCCAGGCATTGACTTTGAGATTAATTGTCCGTCTCGTCGACACTCGTCTCGGATCTCATTTGACGCGCGCTTTGTTTTCTCAATTAGTCTATCGATAGCGTCGCCAGAAGTCTCGTCAATGCGTTCGGCGAACTAATTATTAAATTTTTCATTTTAAAAAATATTTTTTAATATATAAAACATGAAACTAATAATAATTGAGCAAATTTTCAACCTATAAATCACAATTTTCTACACAGCTGAAATTAACAATGTTTATAAAATAGTTAGAGCAAAATAAACTAACCTCGATAGATCTCTCAATATGCCCGTAACCAACTGTCAGCAGTGCTTTATTTGGAAAGTTTGATGCAATTTTTAATATGAGTTCAATTGGGGCAAAATGTGAGGGACAGTCGATTCCGCAGCTGTTGAGATGTGCCCTGAGCTGAGCGGGCGGTCCGGCGAACACACAATGACCGCCCTTTGAGAGGACGTACAACCGGTCAAACATCGCCAGTATTAGTGAGTTTGGCTGATGTATTGACGTCACGATTGCCATCGAGTGCTTCTCTGTCAGGCGTTTTAAACACTGAATTACCTAAATATTTGCCCCAAATTTGCCCCCCATTTAGACGCTATAATCAGTATTTAAAATATTAATTAAAACAATAAATACAATTTCAGATGAATTGCTGTCTAAACCACTGGTCGGTTCGTCAATGCATAAGAGATTGGGCTTGATTTGTTGGACTAACTCCAGGCCAACAGTCAGGCGCTTCTGTTCGCCACCACTGCATTGCTGGACAGTTGTGTCCGCGCAGTCCTCCAGTAGTAGTTCAGACAATAGACGCCTCACATTCATGTCGTGGTCAAAGTGGCCGTCGATGTCCAGCGGCTCGTATTCAGAATGGGACTCAATTCCCGCTCCAGAAAGTGCCAGTTTAGTAGTGTCCCTCTCAAACGCTCCCAACTGAGCGGTATTTTGTCCGCCAATGTCGATCTGTTTGGTGGTCACCCTATTTTTGATCTTCGACGCGAATACTAGCGATTCTCTGTTTTGGTAATGTTTTTATTATTTTAAAAATAATTAGCATTT